TAATGCAACAATACTAAAGCTTCATTTACCTGTTTTGAAAGAACTAACGTCTGACAAGCAGTTTTACAGATCAAACATTCATCTTTTTTGCCTGTAAGGTAAAGACACATTTAAAATATACATCAAACTGAGTAGATACTGAACGCCTGGTAAATAGAACTCTATGCCTAAACCTTTGCGTGGACCTTGTGGAAGAAATCTGCAGGTTATACGAGAAATGTGAATAAACATGAATAAAGAATTTGATTCTTTAACAACCATTACACAGAGTTGCACAGGGAATATGTGTGTGAATGTCATCGGGTCTTACTCCCACAAACAAGCATTCATGTAAATGATTTTATGAATACCATTAGTGTCACAGAATGCAGGTGACTTTTAGTTCCGTTGATTTAAATAGGACTACTTGCCTGGTTTAATTAAATGTATGCTTAAGTGCACTAATGACTTACAGTCAACCAGATATATGGCTTTTTAGACTGGGGCCCAGTATGGTTCTCCCAATAAAATATATAAGACCTTAACATCAAAGAATTAATAATTTTACCTTGTGAATTCTTCCAGTGAGAAAGTCATTTTAAAAACTTTATCATTTTTAAACTGTCTCTTTGATTATCTGCAAACATACTAGAAAATATTTATAGCAAATGCATATTATTACAATGTTTATCATTGGTAATTTTACTAGCTACTTCCTTTCTGAGGATTCTGTGGATCAATGTTTATAAACATCGTTTGAATGTAAATACATTTTAAACCTGGTATTATGATTATTATTGAATTCCCAGCAAAAAGATATATAATCTTTCAGGCATTTTTCTGCCAAACAATATTAAGAGCAGAAAGGAAAGACATTCAGCCTCTAAATCCAGCAAAATGGATTTAGAGGCTGCATTTTATGATCCTCCTCCTTAAAAGCAACCCTGTGAATGCATCTAGTCAAAAGTTTTTAATTCTGAAATACAGATTCATAATTTCTTCTGTGTGCCCTTAAAAAAAACCCACAGGACATTTAGCATGATCTCAAAGGGAAAAACATTGGTATTTGTCTGATGCTCTTTTCTTTTGAAAAACAACAACATTATTCCTCTGTCTTTTCCACATATCTTCATCTGAGCATATCAAGTTCTGTTGAAATACTGCAATTTAAGACTGATCTCACTTTAAAATAAGCTTTGTTTAGAACAAGGTGTTGGACAAGGTGACATCCAGAGGTCCTTGACAACATATTCTTTGACTGAAATTAATAACAAAACATGCAGCCAGAGTAGATTGATAACAAATATCATAGAATATGACTCTGGAATTGTACATGACAAGAGAGCTTCAAAACATCACCTCCAACCCTCCCTGACGCTGCTGAAAAATTTCCAGGAACAATACTGACCTTTAAAACATCTTAAGACTACTTGCAAAGCCTACCCTAAACAAATCCTACGCAGTGTAAATTACCCATTCTCAGGATGAAAAAGCAAGTCCTTTTCCAAATTTGCCAGAAGAGAATGCCTTTGTTTGTTTGTTTAACAACCTTATGAATCATAAGCATCCAGGATAGTTTTATTAAGGCCTCCAGTTTCCCGTGCCCAAGGCCTGCTCTCAAAGCCAGACTCACCTGGAGGTGGACACTGACAGGCTTCAGTATTTAAAGAAAATCAATAGCAAGGATTGAAAAGGTTTATCAACAACATTCTACAGACACGTAGGAATGCTCAGGCCCTTCTTTTTTTTTTTCCACAACGAGTCAGAAATACGAAGGATAAGGTGAGAGGGTGTGCACGCCAGCACTGGCCGCTCCAGCAGCCATTACCTTTCTGGAGGCAAATCTCACAGAAAACGTGGCCGCAGCTGGTGAGGCAGAACCGCGGCGTGGGCTTGCGGGGCTCACAGGAGCAGGAGTTGCAGAACACCGGGAGGGCCATGGGCCGGAGGGGCAGGAGGGCCCGGCAGCGAGCCGGGGGCCGGGGCAGAGGAGGTCCCTCCTCAGGGCGAGCCCCGCAGGCGCCGCTCCGCCATTGCCCGCCCGCCTGAGGCGGCCCCGGGTGAGGGGGAACCGCCCGACCCGCCGCGGGGCCTGAGGGGCGGCAGAGCTCGACCCTCACCCTCCCACCCCCCCCCAAAAAAAAGTTGTATTTTCTGGCCTCTCGCTACCAAACTGGAGCGGTGCCCACGCAGAGGATCCTCTGCGAGATTCCCCTTCCTTTCCCCAAAGATTACTAAAAGCAGTAATCTTACCCTAAAGTCTCAGAATTTTTAATACAGAGAAATTTAAAATCTTAGGAAACTCCTTTTTTTTTTTTTTTTTTTTTTTTAGATTTCTGTTTTAGATTTAGGTCCCTAAGTGGGACCTAACTAGGAGAAACAGAGCAGCTACTAGTGCCAGCATGAACTCACAGGAATGACCCAGCTGGCAGCAGGTGAACGCTTCTCACAAATCAGTCCCTCCATCTCTGATCTCTCAGCCTGGATGCTCAAGGCGAATCTAAAAAGTTCCCTTATACACATGAGCCTGGGAACAAAAAAATTCATAAATATGGAAAATCAAGGACTCCAGATTAGTTTTATGACATATTATAAATTCTCTTCTCCCCATTAGCCTTTCCATCTTTTATCTTCCTTCCTTCCCCACCACCCAGCTCCTGCTTTCCTCCTAGTAACTCTTTTAGCATCTCACCTTCCCCTGCTCTCAACCCCCTGTGGGTATTCAATCATCCCAATCCTGACTTCAACTTAAAATGCTGCCTAAGTCACTGAGTACTTCTTCTAGATTTAGCTTTACATCGGGGGAAGGGGGGGAGAGGTTGATAAAAGATGGGATTCAAGGGGTAAAAATATAAGGGGAATACAGAAGTTGTGACATAGAGAAACCAGAGTTAGGATCTGAGTAAAGATGAGCGAAGCTAGAGAGTTGTATACAAACAGTTTTCTCACAGGTGTGGGGTTTCTTCGGCTGTTCAATGTTACGTGGTGCGCAGTTTTTGAATCTGAGCTTGACCCTCATAGCCTTAAAAGAAGTTGTTTTTCTCACCTCTCACTACCAAAGTGGAGCAGTGCCCATGCAGAGGGTCCTCTGAGAGATTCTCCCTCCCTTTCCCAAATGTGGGGAAGTGACCCGGGATCTCAGTGCTCCAGGCAAGGGCTGCAGCAGGAGCCCCATCCTCCTCATTCCTCCTGGGCCAGCAGGTGTGTGGAAAAAGGTTGTGGATTCCACTCCCTTAAATGTAGGAATCCAGGAAGGTTGTTAATTTGCTGTCACTGCTTTGCTATGGCATCTTTCAATGAGGAAAAAGAGCAAAAGAAGGAGTTTTGATTTTCATTTCTTAGACAAAAAAAACCAAAACCCAAACCCATAGTTTGCTAGTTTCCCTTGATGAAATTTTTAGGAAAAAATTCCCTTACAGACCTAGTTGCAGTGCAGGCTGTAGCTCTGGGTATGGCAGAGCCGCAAACTGCAGAGGAGGAACCTCTGTCTTTTAACTTCACGAAGGCTACTGCCCCCAAAGTGCTTCCCAAAAGAGTTGCAATTCAGCTTCTGCTTTATAGAGTTAATTAAAAATCTTGAAGGAGACTGAAAACATTTCATCAAAGCAAAGATATTTAATGACTATTACTATTATTATTATTATAGATAAAGAATTAAGCACTCTCAAGCTGTATCCAAGGCTCTGAGTCTCAGTGGTAGTTTGAGTATAGACTAATTAATAGAGAGAAATACAATCAGCCCCTTTATAAATTCTGATGTAGTGGCTGAATTGGTTTAAAAGCCTAAGTGTATTGTGAGATGAGTTAAGTTTGGCATTGGGATGTGGTTAGAAGCCTTACACTAAATATCAGCTAAAGTCTGAAACACAAGCTTGTAGCAACACTTTATTAAACTTTTTTCTTGGACTTCATATGGTTGTAACACATATTTCCTTCTTTCCCACCACCAAAGATACTTTTAAAAGACAGGCTGTGAATGACTGATCTATGAAAGTAAAGTTAATAAAACTTATTTACTGGTTATTCCAAGTGACAACTCTAAAGTCTCAGAATTTTTTAATGTACGACACACCTCAATGAGTAGCTTTACAAGATTTTATTGATTGATTTGGTCTGTAGAACGTTGCTTTTTGTCTCTACTTTGTATCAATTTTATGGATTCTCACAGCTGTATTTTCATTACTGTACTGGAAATGTAAGTGAACTCATAGGGCACTGTCATTTCCTCGCTAATGAAAACAACAAGTGAGAAAATAGAAAAAAGAAAGCAAGCAGTGCCTTTAAAACAGTAATTGTTTACAGATATTCCAGCTTTCACTACCTTTTAGATAAGCAAAGGGTCTGGAAAGAGAAGTAGGAAACCAAACCATAATATTCTGCTATCACAGTGCTCTAGAAACTTCTTCAAGTTTCATGTTTTTATATGTAACCACCTCCAACTCCTCCTTACACTACTGCTGCTTTGTCAAGCTAATTATCTGGATTTTTAACCAGAGCTTTTGACTTCTCATTGTGTGATACTGTAGTTACACTGCTAGTTGTACATAAACTAGGTAAATTAAGTCATAAAGATATATGCAACCAAGCTGCAATAAGTGAAATGGAAAATTAAGTCAAAAACTGGTAAGTTCCTTAGGCTGTCATATTACAGTTGCTGAATAATTAAAGTAATAAAAATTCTCAACACAGAAACAGACTGAAGAATTTTCTGCAGGAATGAATTAGAACAAAATGTAGGCATTGTTTACAAAAAAACCCTGTAATTTGGTTTATTTTGGCATACTTCATAAAGACTATAATTTACATGAGCAACTGTGGGAGGTGTCTGATCACAATTCTATAGCCTAATCTGGAAGTGAAAAGTAAGTACAACTCCAAATTGCTTGTCTGGGTCTCTCTCTTGCATGATAATTGCTGCTGCCACTGATCAGTTCAAACTTTGAATATTTTGAAAGAAGGCAGTCACAATTACATTTAGGTGTTACCCATATATAGATTGAGTTCAAAGCACTCTCACCAAATTAATCACCACAGGGGATATGGGTTATTTCTCTGCCTACTGTCTGAATCATGGTCAGTCTGAAGTGCTGAACTCTTTCTGGTAGTACCAAGTAACATCACTAAGCAAGTAGAGAAATTTTAAATCCTAGGAAACTTTTTTTTTTAGATTTCTATTTTAGATGTAACGATCCTGAGCTGGACTTAAATGCTGCCTTAGTCACTGAATCTTTCTTCTAGATTTAGCTTTACATCTGTATAGGAGGAAAAAACCTAATAAAAAATTGGATTAAAGGAATAAAATGTAAGGGGGTATAAAAGGTTGTGAGACAGATGGAGAAACCAGAGTTAGAATCAGAGTAGAAGATGAGAGAAGCTCGAGAGTTCTATGCAACCAATTTTCTTTTAGTTGCAAGGTTTCTTATGGTGTTCAGTGTTACATGATGTGCAATTTCTGAATCTGTGCATTTACTTAATAGAATTTAAACAAGCTTCTTAGCTATGAAGAAATCTCTGAGAGATTTGATTTGCCAGATTCCAACGGAGACGAGGATCAGTGTTTGTAGTATAGCCCACCACAAAATATTGCTGTTGGTTTCCTCACTTGTCTTTCGAAATTTTTCTTCACGTTCCTGAAGAATAAAGGAAAAGCATAGTTATTACCTTTTGGCATCTACATGTTTCATGCTGCTATCCAGGTAACTAGACAGGCATCCCTCTTCTGCATAGTGGCGAACAAACACTTTTTTCCATGTTGATAAAAATGGAAGTTTGTATTTATCCATATGGTGGGTATCTTTACAAATCAAAACTGAGAAGCAGACACACTGTATCCTCAAGCAGAAAGGCAAACAGAACTTCCTTTATTCACAGAAAATATATTGTGCTAAATATGTTCCATTAGTACAGGCTTTAACCTTTTTAGGTTTACAGTCACATATTGCTGTCAAGAACCCTTTTGCAGCCAAATTTCTATTTTTAGGTAACTAGTCGATATATTTCAAACACAGTCTGACTGCCTGTGTACGAATGGAAAAGTGAAGAGAAGGGGTATACGCTTGTTTGAAGGAGGGCTTTATTTCTAACTGCATGGAGATTTATAAATATACACTCAGTCATTTCCTTCCCCACTCCAATAAAGTTTATGCACATAGACTAACATGGAAACAACAGCTGGAGACATCACCCACAGCGGTACCTGCCGCCTGCTCAGCTGCTGGGGCTGACTCTGGCCAAGAACACTCTTATTTGGAAAACTCTGCTTTAAAATAACACCTGCTGCTGTAAAATAACACCTGTTGCTATAAGCGTGAGTTCTCAGTCATTAATTAGTTTTTAGGTTACTGCTTAAAAATATTTTGCAAGGTAATAGAGACAATTTTGGTTAAATACCAATAGATTTTTATGTGTTAGTTAAAAATAACACTGCAATTGAATAATAAACCTCATAATGCTTAATAAATCAATAAGCCTATGTACAGTATTTTTTAATGTTTCCATTGGGGAACATACGTACTCTTTCATAGTCTTGTTCTTTGGATACATGGTGAATTTGCTCAATTAGATGTTCTAGTCTGATATGAACTTCATCCACTGTTTCTTTGGCTTGAACAGCAGATTCATCAAAAAAATGCTCTCCAACTCTAATGTCCAAATGCATACGCTGAAAACAGAAAATATATGCTCGTTTCTGTGTCTTCTGCTTTTTCAAAATTCCTAAATTCAAATTAAAAATGAACCAATGGATAATTTCCCTTTAAGCTCATTACAGGAAAATAGTTTTAATTTCTTATAAAAATCCTTCCTAAAATTAGAATCAGGTGGTAAATTTAAAGTGCTTCTTAATTTTATTTTTAAATTAGTTATACATATTTACAAACTTCACTAATCTTAGGGCATTATTTTATGCTAGTATTGATTCAACCACCATGAAAATGTTTTGTTTGTCCAAAATAGTTAAAAAAAATAAAGACCATAAGGCATGGTCATTATATTTCACATTCCATTCTAATATTGCAGGAATCACATTCTTCAGTAGTACTGCAGGAAGTTTTTTGTAGATGCCTTTCTGGGTTTCCTCATGTAACTGTTGGGACTGTAAGACTGGAAGGAGACGAGCTGAATCACTATTTGCAGTTTAACATGGGTATCCGTAGGGTATCTTTTTCTTTCTCCACACTATTTTTCCAATATGAAGTATCTCCCAATATCCTGTAAGCTGTTGTATTATCTATTGCAAAAATACCTGAACCCAGCTCAGCAACAGAACCGTAGAAAGAAGAGCGAAGAACAGAACTTGCAATATTATGCAACTTATTTTGTCATGAATTAAAAATTTTGCTAAAACTGACAGGAGGAATTTCCCCTAGAAGCCGATTTGTGCCTAAGAGAAAATAAAAAGGTTTTAGCCAAGCAAATAATCTGCCAAAACCTAGAACTTGATATTACCATTGTAGAAGTTGGATCTACTCAGATATCAACCACAAATGAAGAGCAGATCTTTCAGCTGTCTTGGAGTTAGCTAACTGTATAACTATCCATCTCACAGCCTTATCATCCATTAATTTATTTATTTTGGTTTGAAGGAGTTCAGATAACCATCTGGTTCTTACAGAAGACCACTGAAAAATTTAACTTAGCTAAAGGATGTTTTTCTTTTGTGACCTTTGTTCCTGCAAGTATGATTATAAGAGCAGTATTTTCCTTTTTAATTTCTGTGTTCTCAAGCTAAACAAACCACCTCATTTAATATTTGTGATATTAATGTTCTCCTTCCCCACATCTGTTCATTTCTTTTAAATAGGATGACCAGAACTCTACAATGCATGTATCATGTAAAATCATATTAATACAGCTCCATCTATACCAGATAAAAATCACATGCATATCCTCAGAATCACATTCATGGTGTGCAGTTAACTATGATCAACCAAAGCTTTATCACCCTTACCCTCTCTAGTTGATAAGCTCCACCAATTGTTTTTATTATTAGAACCCGAGTGCTTTTGCAATGTGTATGCTTAAATTTCCATTCATTTCTATCAATCAGTCTGTAAGAACACCTAGTTATTCCAGTATAATAATCCCACTTCTGTACTGTTAGGTCTTCTCATTTCTGTGTCATCTACATGTTCCCAAAGTCCACAGCTTGCATGAAATTTGACCTAACTCAAGACATTTACAAGATGTTTACATTTATCTAACTCTTTTGCAGTCAACTTAGTTAACAAACAAACAAGCAAACACTCTAGAGAGTAATTCTCATCTATTCAACTATCTTTTGGGCTAAGGCATGTATTTTCAAAACAGAATTTATAAATTTTTTTGCTGGAATAGATTAGAGCCATGATACCACCTCTAATGGGTTTTTTCTTTTCTTCCCAAAATCTGCGTTAAGACCAGGTTTTTTTTTAGACAATAACAAGAATGCTAATATATTCTTCTTTGAATATCTCTCAAAAATTGAAATGTACATTTTCATTAGGAATTCAATCTAAGTTAGTGAAGACATGGAACACCTTTATGACAAATGTTTGTGTTAGTCAATCATTCATATCAGTCTTTTCGAACCAAATTAGTCATTCTTATTGATCAGAATCACATTCAAAGCACTTTAAAAACATTAAGTCTCTCTATCATTATTAGTCTTGCCTCTTGAAAGCTGACTTCTTAAATAGAAGAGAACAGTCTTTTTATCTCTTGATCTACATAATTCTGGTTTTGTCTTCTTTAATCGCTAGGAAATGTCAGATTATCTGCTAGAAGTTAGTCCAACTTCTAAACTAGTTTGTAGTCTCTGTGGTTTGTAAACAATTTATAGTTACAACAAAGAATATTTAAGAAATATACCTACCAGTTTACTTCCTGCAATTGCCAGAAGTCTTGTCGAGTTTGACTGGAAACAGATTACATGCTCCCCAGAGAGATAGGATGTAAAAGAAAATGTTCCTTGTGGCCCATACAGTTTTGACAATAGTACCTGCAATTTAAATTTTATATATGTTGGGTTTGTAAATTGTAAATACCAATAAAACTATCAAGACAGTTCTGTGAATTGGATGCAAAAAGGAATCAATTAGCCTCGTGACATTAAATTTATCTGAATTTCAGGGTAAATTTAGAGAAAATTTAACTATTTTAGTTCACAGTGAACACTGAAATGTTATAGAATTCTGCGATGTACAAAGCCAATGCTCTCTAAAGCGTGCAAAGTTTGAAAACTAAGACCTCATCTAGGCTCCATTGCTGGAAAGGCTCAGGACCTCATGGCAACACAGGCAGCTGCTCTACATGAGGGCCCCATCCAGCCTCAGGAAGATTTCAACTTTCACAGTTTTGTTTATCTTCAGCCTTCCTTTCTGCTGCTCAAGTACATTCTGTGCCGTTTTACTTCATCAGTGAATTTTCTTTTTTTTTCTTTAATTTAACTTGTTTCCTCAGTTGTCGCTTACTGTTCTTAATGACACACTTTCCCAAATCTGATAGTAATGCAAAAATTGACCATGCACATAATTATCAAATATTGTAATTTCTCTTTACTTTGGTAAAGGTTCTTAAACCTTTCAGCATCAAAATACCAAACCAGCTGGTAAACTGTAGATTTACTTTTTCTCCAGAAGTGTCTTTTATTTTTAGATAGTGCTGCCTGCCAGTGCCAGAAGTCAACATATAAATCCTACAGAAACATTCATAGAGCATATTTACCTCACCAGAAGGAGTTGAGACAGTCACATACATTCCCAAACCAGGAGCAGATTCAAGAAAATGGTGTTTATGTATATCCCAGCGTTGTACTTTGTAATTCCCTGAATAAGAACATGGATAAATCCATTAAATAGAACATAGCTTAACATTAAACATCTTCATTGCTTTTTCAGGAAAAATATAAAAATAAATGATTAACATTAAAACAATATATGTATTTCATGTGTTTATGATTAAAAGTGCTCAGGGGCACTTTACATTACCGTGAAATGCAATAAATTTTTACTACACCAGAAAATGTTGTATAGTACTACAAATAATGGTTAATTAACAAGAAGTACTTTCTGATTACTCCTAAAACTCTGGCAAGATTAACCTCCAGAAGGCATGCTGAGACCCCCAAAAGCATAATGTGCTGTAATCAAATTACATTTTTCGGATTGTTTTTCATATTTATCACATTATTTATTAAAGAAAAAGATTATTCTGTATTATTTTTTGCTATTCCCTTGAAATCTTGTATGTACAATCTTGTAGATTAATTTAATGTGCTTGTGGTATCCCAGATGAAATGAAACTTTAGTACATCTTGAATTGTTTCTTTCCAGACCGGCATTAATCAAAAAAGTAACTCTCTCATTCATATGGGGAAAACTATGTTACAAAAATTCTGTTGTGAATGAGTACATCAGTCAGAATGTAGAGAAACACACATGGAAGCAGCAGTTCTGCAGCTGTAGAATTAAAAGACATTGTTTAGTCAGTAAAGCACTCTGAAAAACTGCACTTTTTTTGAGTGATGGACACACACAATGCGTGAGGACTTTATTCCTACTCCCCGCTGTGGAGAGTAATTTTCAGTGTGCCCTTTCCTTAGCACTAATGTTTTAGTATATTCATCAGCCACAGAATTTCCTGTTACATTAAAAGTTATCTTTATTATTGCATAGGTTAGATAATCATAGAGGACTGACAACTACCTACCAAATACCAACGTGTCGCTGGGAAGATCTTCAATTATACATTTCTCTTCTCTTTCTCCAATGTGAAAATACAAAGCAAGTGAAAAAGAAATCCAGAAGTTCATAAATAATCCTATTAATTGGCTTTTCATGGTTTTTTTTTTATATCCCTGCTGTACTGCTACTGAAGAGAAATAGTTACATACAAATGCCTGTAGTCCTGTGGTTGTTCCTTGTTTGCTTCTTATCGGTGTATTTTTGAGAGAGAAAAAAACTGTGAGAAAAGGCAGCTGGTGGTTACACGTTTATAAATAACTGCAGTATGTTCTGGAGAATGAGATAACATGAAAAAGACACCTTGTAAAATCTTTTTTCTTTCCCAGCATCTAGATTAAAATTTTATTTTATACACTTATAAGAGCATGAAACTGAAAGGGCCTCTCAGGTACTTGAGAGCAGTTCCCTAGATTATTATAAGTAACCACACTGGCTATCTCTTTCCAAAAACTGCTCAATTTTCAACTTAAATGAAGTTATTAAGTTGTATTTCCTATTTATTCTGGGTGATTATTCCAGAGCTTCACTCCTCTTTTATTAAGAAGTCTTGTAATTTCCATCCTAAATCACTGGACAAATGTATGCATCTGCATAAAACCACAGGGACTACATAAAAGGTCTGGAAGAAATTTAAAGAAGTCAAAAGAACAGTAAAAGAATCTGAAACATTAATGAATATGATACTTCGGGAAAAAATAACAACCTTAACACTTTCAGAATAAGATTTTTTAATATACGAATGTCTGTTTCTTAGTCACTGCCTAATAAATTCTCTAGAGAAAGCTATAGAGTAACTTGAACAAAGATTGAGGTTTTTATTTTTATCCTTGGTACTAATATAGACCAATGTATTTGCCTGATGACAAACTCATCTATCACTCAAATGTTCTTTGTCTTATAAACTGAGATCACTGTGTCTGAAAGGTTGGCCTCAATGTCAGAGGATATGTGGTCGTTTTCCAGCGGGGAGGACCCACCTGTGGGATCATTTCCAGTAGGGAGCTCATTTTTTGTTTCAGAAGCTCCTGTTGAAGGGTCTGTAGCTTGATCACAGACTGCCCAGCCCTGCCATTGTCCTCAGCAGCACCTGGCATTCACAGGGCAATGGTTCAGTGATGCCCTTGAATGTGTCTTTGATGAACCTCTCACTTGACTTCTGAGTTCTGTCATCTTGACTTCAGGGTATGGGATGACGCTACCTCAGCTGCACACACATGGGCCATATATGCAGGACACAGTGCCACAGATAGAAAACATTCCTTGATGGAATTTTACCAACATTTATTTTGCTTGAAAAGGTGGAATTTGGATTTTATTTTATGTTTTATTTTTATATAGACCAGGTTGTTCAGAGCCCCATTCAGGCTAGCTTTGAACACTTCCAGGTATGGGGCATCCACAACTTCTCTGGGAAACCTGTTCAAGTGCCACGCCATGTTCACAGTAAAGAATTTTTTTCCAAATATGTAATCTAAACCTGCTTTCTTTCTGTTTGAACCAACTTCCTCTTTTCCTATCACTACATATCCTTGTAAAAAGTCCCTTTCCATCTTTTTTATAGGCTTTCTTCAGGTACTGAAATGCTCAATTAGGTCACCCTGAAGTCTTCTCCAGGCTGAACAATCCCAATCCTCTCAGCCTTTCCTGGAAGAGACATTGCCATTGAATACTGAGGAAAAAAGTTATCGAGTACCTCAACCTTCTCCTTGTAACCTGTTTTCCAGCATTGTGTATTGGGTGAGTAAACCTTCTTTGATTTTTTTTTCTAGTTAACATACATGTAGAAGCTCTTCCTGTTATTCTTTATGTCCTTTGTCAGGTTCATTTCCAGCTTCATCTTGGCCTTCCATGTCCCATCCCTATACAAGTGAACTTAATCTCTATACTCTTCCCAGGTTACCTGTCCTTGTTTCCACTGTCTGTGCATTTGCTTCTTTCCCTTTTGTTTGATCAGCAGGTCCCTACACAGCCATGCCGGTCTCTTGCCTTCCTTGCCTGATTTCCTGCTCCTGGGGATTGCTAGCTTTTGCACTCTATGGAAGACTTCCTTAAGGATCTGCCAACTCTATTCTGCTTGCTTGTCCCTAAGGGCAGTTTCCCAGGGGATCCTATTGACTATCTCCTTGATGAGCTGGAATTTCGCTCTCCTAAAGTTCAGGGGCCAAACTTTCCTCCTTATCTGACCCATATCCCTCAGGTCTGCAATCTCCAATGCTGCATGTTCCTTGCAGCCCAGGCTACCTCCAATGTTGATGTCCCCATTAACTCACTTAAGCTGGTGGCCATCTGGTCTGGTATCACATCCCCTCTGGTAGGGCTGTCTATTCCCTGGCTCAAGAAGTTATCCTCCAATCTTTCATGTGTTCACAGTTCACCATCTTTAAATTCCTTAAGGTATTGGAAAAAATTGTTCTCAGTAATGAGGTACCTTATTCCATTATAGGAATTTAGTTTGGTGTTGATTATTTCTGTAGGACCACAGTTTAATTCTGTGGTGAATTTTTGACTACTACACTTACCTTTAACCATGTCTTCCAAGGCATCAAAGCTGATCCTTCCTATAAAACATTCTTGAAAAAAAATTGTCTTTACAAATCCGTTTCAAGCTTCCTCCCAAAGTGCTTTCTGAGATTAGCTTAACCCAGGAGTTAATTTGCCCATTTCCTTCCCTAAATCTCATGTGTTTAGGACCACAGCATCTTGGCTGCCAGCCATCTGTAACACTAGTTGTAAAGGAAAAGGAAGGAAGAGCTTCTCTGTGCTTCTTCCCGGTCCCCAGACTTTCAAGAGAATTCCAAGACTGCAGAAAGTAAAAGCTACAAGGTCCTAGCAGTATCCACACAGGGATAATGTACCTCACTAATCAGTTTAATAATGATATATTTTGAGAAATATGCTCCATCATTAAAATGTGCTTCACTCACTGTATCCGTAGTCTCGCCAAGTAATGAATCCATGCCTGGGATTTGCAAAGGGAATACCTGGAATGATCTATGGCCAAACATTACATAACTACAAGGGCATCCTTAAAGAATGTCATGTGTATCAAGGTCTCCTGAAGTCACAGCTTACAAAAAAATCCCATATCCAGGTAACTGGCTGGATAGAAAAGTTCTGCTTTTGAAGGAAGCTTCAGTGAATATTCATGTATGTAAACAGTCTAAAGTAGCAAAGTTATATATCACTGACTGGAAACTGGAGTTTCCTGAAGTGTGTTGGCTTGTTGTATATTCACTTCCCTTTCTACTCCACCACTCCCTCTCATCCTTTCTCCTTCAGTGTCCTTTGGGAAACTTTTGGCTCCAGGAGTTCGAGTAAACACTGGGACTACTCCACTCTCAGTTCTTTTCTTGTAGGACTGAAATCCCAGATTCAGGTCATATATATATAGAATTGCAAATGCAGATATTCTTTTACTGGACCTGGCCCTTTATTTGCTCTGGGCATGTGAAGAAGCAAAACTCTAATGTTAAGAGAACTTCCAGGAACGTACCTCCAAGGATACCTTGTGGTTTGTGGGTTTATTTTTCCTAAGGCATGATTTAGACTTGAATCTGAGATCTGCCCAAAGCCTTTATTGAGCCTAATTTGTCACTCAACAATCAATAAATTTGAAATTAGTTCCTGTCCTCAGAGAGTATTTAAGTATATACTTCGATGTATGCATAGGTTTTCTGAGATGATGGTAAATCTGTAAAAATATAGTAGATAAGTGTAACGGAAAACACAGAATTATTAACATTACTATAAAAAGAAGAAAGAAAAATATTGATAGCTAACACAAAATAGTGTAGTTACACTATTCCCATTATAGAGTGGAAACAGGGGAACCTGGGAAAAAAACATGATAAAAAGAGTAAGTGAAACAATTTTGAACAATGGGCAAGAGTGGGAGTCTGAAGAATAAGAGATGTAGAGATTCCTACAATGAGCTCTAAAAACTGTGTTTAACAGCATTTGGAGGAGCAACTAATTCTAGTCTGATAAAGTTTCAAATTTATTTGGGTCTTTGCAAGATTTATCTCCTGGAAAGAAATACAGAGAACCTTTTGAATGTTTCAGCCCTATGGAGAATACAGTGTGCTCCTTTAAGGACATGAGAAATTTTCTTGTATTTGGCATATTCCTAAAAGAACCTTATCAAATCAACTCTCCTGTTCAATATCTGCACTGTATATTAGTAAAATTGCAGTGTGCTGTAAAAGTTTTGTGAGCTGACTGCAGACTTATTCTGTTGAGTAAGTATTATTCCAAAATCCTTTTCCTGGTTAGTAGCCACAACTCTTCATAAGCCATATGTTACATTCATTTTATAACAGTTATTGGAGCATTAAAGCTTGCAGTCAGGAACATTTTCTGACATGTTGTGTTTTGTTATCATTGTGTATACCTGAATTTTAGATACTGTTAAAAATTGCTAAATTTTCTCTGTAAAAAGTGGAAAAAGAGCAAATAAATAGCAGCAACACATTTAAAGAAACATGGACAATATTTACTGCATATATAAAGGTAATGATATAATTTATGTTATGGTCAACAGCATTTGTTTTGAGATAGTTGTCTCATGAGTGACACACACCAACAATCATTTTTTGAATCTCAACTAACACATTTAATTCAGTTCAGAAGTTTTCTAGTGGTATCCACACTTCTATATTTTTCTAGTAATTTTGTTGGCTGAGTGTCCTCATTATTCTTCTCGCTTTTGAGAAAAAAGAAAGAAAAAGACATTTTCATATATTCGTAAGTCTCAAGACAAGTTTACTCACTTCCACTATTGTCTTAACCACGCTGCAAACATCTGGTCACTCTGACTTATGTAAGTAGTTTCTGAAGAAATGCATGTTAAGCATAGTTAGAAAGACAAGAAAAATGCCAATAAATTATAAAAACATAATTTAGATGAAAAAATTAATTTCTAGGTATAAATATCTGTAGATAATCAAATTACAGTATTTAAGAAGGCTATTAGTTTAGATGTTGTGATTGATTTTTATTCATGTGAAGTACAATGTTTCCAAATGTCTTCTTTTCTGCCACTAGAGGGTACTCCAAGAACTTACAGTGTATTGTAGGAAGGATTTATTTGGGGATTTTTGGTCTGTAAGTGATCGAGTACTGTTGTCATACTAAACCTTAGAAATTTAACCCCCTAAAATGTTGACATTAAATAGAAACTTTCAAAACCACTCTTATACACCTTTTCATCAAAATAGTGCAGCATATCCAAATTCTAAAGAACACTGATTGACATGTAGTTTAGATTTAAACTTATCCTACTTTTAAATTATCTAAGTTATTATCTTTTCTTTATTTCAGACACAGTTTTCAGGTTCACATGGTGTCTCTTCATCCAGGTTTGGACAAGGCATTCCATTATTGGCAGGCTGAAGAAGCACAAAACGAGTTCTGATCTTGGTCCCTGTTTCTCTGCAAACGCCTCTGCAGAGACCCCAGGAAGACCATTGAGAAACCTCACAGTCCAGGGGTGTTTCTGCAATACACACAACAAAAACGTAACTTTACATGAAGCTGTACTTGAGTCAAATACACAGTTGGAAAAGCATTAAGGAATTTCGATCAAATAGCATCCTTTCTTATACAAAAAATACATGTGATAATAATAAAATCCATATGTTGTCTCATAAATTAAAAAAAAGGTCTGGTTTCATCTCCTAAGCTCGTGGACAATTATATTATTGTTATTGCAATCTAGAGCATGTCTGAGATATTATATCAGTAGTGCAGCATATTATCTATTGAATTGAAAATACAGAATTCCTTTAAAAGAAAACTATGCTTAAAATAATTGCACCCAAAAGACTGAATTAAAAAACATTTACTGTCAATTTTATAACTCATTTGCCTTTTCATGGCTTACTAAAAATGCTGGTTTGTTTGGATATATTTATATTTCTTAGCTATTGTTCCTATAGTTGGTCATGTCAAATTCCATTTTAATTTTGTTGCAATTTTGCTTCAGAAATAAAGTCCCATTTCTTACATTAAATCATCTTACTATTGTTTGGTGTGTATACTACTCCCCCTTTTGCCAATAAACATGTTCTGTCACTGTAAGCTTTCTAATACTAAAAGGGGTTTCAGTATAATTTGCCTCAGGAAAAGAAATTAGAAACTCTAAAGTACTTTGCATAGTGTATGCTTCTGGTGAAAATATCTCTCATAAAAGCATGGCTGAGTATTCCTTAGCAGGTTACATTAAAATATTGCTTGTCACAGGAAGTTGCATCAACACTTCCTGTTACAGCATTTGCAGGTAAAATAGGTGTGCACAAAACCACCTTTAAATGCCACACTAGGGTGTGACACCTCGTATAAATTTCTGGCATTACAGTGAACTCACCACTTCTGCTGTCATCACTCATTCCTGTTTCTAGAAGGAATGAGGGACACAGCTTGACCTCTGGTAATTAAATCTGTCCTTTTGATTCTGGAATACGTTTTTAAGCAGATTGATTTACTGGTTAGCATAAAGTGGGGATTTTTGATTAAAAATTAATTTTGAAATACCATACTTTAAATGCATTATTTTAAATTTATACCCTAAAGAGGGCCAAATGTTCATTTTGAATGCTGTGGGACAGACATAACTGCAAATGAGATATGTAACAGTCACTTTGAATGTGTCTTGTTTACTAACAGAAGTACATTAAACCACTGTAAATTGATAAATACCTTTATTAAAGTAAAAATCACACATTAGTTGTGTAGAGAATGAGCTTTATTTTAGTGGCTATGAGGTGTCCAGCACAGACCCATGCAATACTCAGACATTCTGGAGAAGCTCTTGGAACATGGCAACTCTTCTGGGAGTGCATTGCTCCCTTGGAGCATATATTGTGTTAACCATATATTTTTTAATTCAGGGATTTGGAAATCACCCTTAAGACTGACTTGAGTCAGTAGTTTGCATATCTTCCTACCTGGTCAAGGTTATTAGCTACTATTTTTAAGAAAATAAAAATGAGAACCTGATTTTTGTTGTCAAGATTTATGTTTCTATCGCAAATACATCCAAAACAATTGAATTATATCAATTTTTATTGCACATAACTGTCAAGCCTTGTGACCCAGAAAGAGACAACAATAATGGTTCTTGGCTTCATCATCATATAAAAACTTAAGGATGAATATTTACTTTAAAGTTGCAAAGAGTTTGGGAACTCTGATTCTGATCAAGTGTCATTTGTTTCTCATAAAATTCACTGACCTACACTGATACAAAGGCTTGAGTAGCTCCTACTGTGGATGCAACCCAATCCTTTGAACCACAGCTCAAATATGCAATCCCTCCCTTATTCTTTCAGGAATTCTCTTTTATGTCAACTGGCTTGTTTTATTTCCCATGTGTGAGTCTGGAAACTATTCCTATGCAGATAGGAGAATATTCTGCCTGATCACCTGTTTCATCCACATCACCTGCCAGATTTCCACATATTTCTGAGTGAATGAAAATAACAGAATTGAGAACATCAATGAACTAATCACTTACCTGAGACAGAGTCTATTATTTCATTGCTTTTGGCTGGAAGATTAATATAAGGTGCAGAAAGACCCAGCTGGCTTTTCTTTAATTTCACCATTGTTACTTGAGCAATAGGTGGCAAAATTTTGAGTTTTGGATAATAAAATGAGTTTGCTGGGTGACTTGGAGAGGAGCAAGTGATCTGCAAAATGAAAAGGGGAATATTAACCAAATGACATCGTATTAGTAGGAAGATAACTGTAAAATCATGTTTATACATCATGCTAATACTTTTTGGCAAGTTAATTGAGTAGAACCAGTTTCTGTGCACCTCAGTTCTCATAACTGTGCTGGTAGTCCCAGAATTTTTATGCAGAATGCTTTGAGACAGGGAACAATGAATTTCATCCACTTTGGATAGCAGACTGTGCTGGGAGGTACTGAAAACACAGTAATGTATGGAAGGTTTAATGGAAAAAACTGGCTGAGTATTAAATAATAATATTAGGTATGCTGTCATATGCATATAGGAGGCCAAATGCATTGTTTTCCATATTCTCTGTACCTTTTCTCATTACTCATTAGGACAGTATTTGTCTCGAGCAAAACTGACCTTTAAGAAGGGATTAACTGAATACTTATAGTATTCCAAACATTTTAATCAAAATCCTCTGTTCCCCTCCATTTTTAAATGGCAAAAGCAAAGTATGAGGCATATAGAGGATCCAATGAGCAAAAGAGATTGGGGTCATTGCAATAGCAGTGAAGTTCTTTGCTTTCCTTTGGGTCCTTTCCCTCTGATGCAAGTTTCAGGTTTCAACAGTGCTTTCAACTAAACTCCTCCTCACATCAGTATTCACTACTAAGAATTTTCCTGTTTAGATACATATTTCATAATGTCAGGACTCTTGCAAGTATTTTTTATTTTCCTGGCGCTTTAAGGATTGTTAAATGTCATCTAAAACCTGACAGTTTTCCTATAAAATAATTAAAATGTAGAGACAAGTTTTTGTTAACCATCTGCATCTACCTAATAAATTTCAAAGACACAGAAAATAAACAAAACCAGTGAGTTTATCAGCTGTGTAATAAATCCATGTGTAGAGAGCATCAGCACTCCCAAATACTAAAATCAGTTTCACAATTATAGAATAGTTATATTTTAAAGGGAAATCTCAAAACATATCAATATGGAGTGCTAAACTATGAACATATACCTACCTCTTGAACTGTCTCCTGTGGAATAGTGGCAAAGTTTGGGGAGGAAAATGTGAAACCACTGTCGGTTCCAGCATCATATGGATATAGATCTACTGACACTTCATCCATCCAGCGGTCTCCTTCACAGAGATTTAGGCTGTCAATACCCACAAACCAGTCAGGGCTTGGAACAATTCGTACAACAAATGAAACCTAATGAAACAAAATTATCCATCAGGATTGCATCACTCGTTTTGGAATGCTTCGGTCCTGCTTACAGTGATTTTAACTCAAAAATCTTGGAATAATTTCATTATGCTCTTCTACTTTATAGAAACTGTACAGTGCTCCCTGCAATGTGACATGCTTTTTCATAACTCTTTGCATTATATTGTTCCTACGAGTGAGAAGTCAAATATTTAATTTTGGGTGCTGGTGACATAAAATAAACTTTTGAAATTAATATGTATGTTTACTTACTAAGGGATGTCTTGGATGCACTTCTAATTCAGTAGAGGTTTGTCCTGTACCACTGGTAATTGCAGGAGCAGAGAAGATTCCATGTACGCTCTGAATTTTCTCTCCAGCTTCTTCTATTTCTTTCATTAATGCCCATGCTTCACCCTTTTCAGCAAAATCACGTACACCATTGCTGGCATATTCATTTTTTTTCCACATGCTGTAGTCAGGACTATGAGTAACACCTATTTGAGTGAATACATGGCATGACATAAAAGTCTGATTTACAATGTCCCTATTTCTTCATTTTCTCTGTTTTATTTCTGAGGTTAAAAAAAAATGTGTATAAAATTGAGTGAACACTAAAACATTTGGCTTATCACTGTTTGTTTCAGCTGTGGCCAATTGAAAACAGAAGTCAATTGAAAACAGTTGCAGATTTTTGGAAAATATTGTGGATACTTCATTTTATGAATTTCATTCTTAATAACTTTGGCATTTTTTTCCTTTTCCATTAGTTGTCTTAAATTTGACTATTAAGAAGAAAAAAAACACCACAGAGGTCAAGAGATTTATCTGCTGTTAAAACTGTGCATACTTGACTTACCTAGCAGGGATGACCACTGTGCTGGGGGCCTGTAGAGTGGATACTGCTTAGGGAAAGCAGTCTGACTCCATTTCCCTATGAAGATTATCCTGTACTTAGCAAGTTCCTCTGCTGTGCAAATAGAGTCATCCCCCACAGGCAAGCTGCTGGCATACCCTAGTATAGTTACAAGTACTGTCCAGATAACTTTACAGGAGCAGTAGACAAACATCAGGTTTTCCATTCCCTTCCACACAAAAAGAAAAAAAAAATCCGTTAGCCATATTAGTCACTCTAAACTCAAAATTAATAACAGCTACCTAATAAAATCTAATGTAGCATCAGTTATAACCTAAAAGAAAGCAGATATCTGAAACAATAAAAATTTTTATGCTTCTAAAAGCATTACTATAATGCTTTCAGATTTGTAATTTCCATGCTATATAGAACAAATCTGTAACTTTACCTGGGACAAGTGTTTCTAATGAAAATACAAATATCTTATCCTTGTCCATAGTACTACCTCTGAGAAAAATCTGTTTCTGATTTTCTTTTGAAATCTGATTAGAGTCACATCTTGATTTAATTAGAGTAGCAACTGTTTCTGTGGAAAACATTAGTGGTGTATTTATTCTTCTAAAGATTAAATTGCAGGTTACTTTGCCAAAAGAAATGATTTATTTTAAATTTGTGTTCTACAAAGGCTGTTTTATAGCATAACATTTAAAATCAAATACATTTCATATTTATATAAATTACTTAGTTGTCATAATGTGGATTAAAAATAAATTGTAATTCCTTTAGATTGTCTAAACTACACAGTTCTAAAAACCAATATTTTTTAAAAGTTACTGTCATAGCTTGTGCAAATTTTGTTTTTAAATTAACATGGTAATTGCATCAGACTGTTGAACTCCAGCAATTGTTTAAAATAACAGCCTTTAAAAATGATTTTTAAATGTTTCTATCCTTTGCGAAAACTATACAAACATAACTAAATCTCTAATAAGATATTAATTTGTAAAAATAGCTGTGAATACTCACTAAATATTCCTCTGGAGCACTGGTAGTGGGAGAGCACCTGCTTTTGCTGGCAGCTGAGTTGGTCTGCAAGAGAAGACAGTAGGAGTCTTGCTATTTATGCCTGAAGAGGGTCCCTTTGGTCCAACAATTATTGCAATCTTTAGACTTTCCAGGTTTGCAAAAATCATGCCATCTTCTTGTTTGCAATCTCTTTGGAAGGACTAGCAGAGGTTTCCTGTCTGTCAACTGGTTCAGGTTCCTTATCAGAAGACTGGGGTGCCGAAAAGACAAAATACTTTTAAAAAATACCTTGGGTTCTTAGTAACTGTTCGAGTTTTCTGGTGCCTTTACAGTTCTCTGCTCTTATTAATGCCTCCAAGCTATACAAATGAACTGATTCCAACACTGAAATAGTTCTGGTGAATACACTTTAAATGAGAAACATGTTTTCTTGTAAGTTTTATTGTCTGACAGATGCTCCTTCCAAACATTTACAGAGAGCTTGCTCACTCTCACACACCATATGTATGTGTTCAAATAAAAGGGGTGAGGCAGCTAAAAATGTCAAGAGGAAAAAAAAGTTACATTTCATAATTGCACATACTGACACAGACTGTGTCTCCTGCAAATATGAATTAATTTAAAGTAGTACAGTGTACATTTTTGTGTTGTACAGGACTGTGTGCTGGATGATGAAAGGGCTCTGTAACGTTGTGGTTTCTTTGGAAAGAGTGGTTTTGGGAAGCTTGAAGATTTTTCTTAGCTGTCTTCAGAGTGAAAACCCCAAATAAAAATCTTATTATTACGGTTAAATTATACATCCTCTGTAGCACAGTAGATATACTTACATCACTAAAACTATCTAAATTGTCTATGAAAAAATATGCATTATATAGTGACCCAATTAAAAATAATGTTTAATATTTATTTTAAGTTGTTTTCCCCATCACCTTTCAAATAAGGGAAAAGAAGGGCTTTGTGCCATCTCTATAAGGTCCTTGGCTGATCAGCAAAGGCAGTTAAGTTCAAAATTTTACAGTGAACCATGAAGATAATATTGCATAGAATTTGCTTTAGAAATTGTGAGGAATGTCACTTAAGTATTTCCACAGATCTCTAACATGATGGTACAGAATATGGGAAAAAAGCAAATAAGACCAGTTATTTTTCAGATGAAACCTCCAGGCCATGACAGGTTAAGCACACAGCATATAGATGAAGTGACACACATTTGTCCACCAGGAGGGAGTTACCAAACATGTTAGAGCTTGGTGGCACTTTAACTGGAAACTTCCCTTCTGCCCCTCACCCGTGGTAAATCCAAGCCAGGAGGTGAACAAACTGGGATGCCTGAATGGAATTTCCATTGATTATTCTGCTGACAAAATGGAATCTCTTGCGAGTTTCAACATAGATGGAGACAGCACCTGTAGCCACAATTCCTCTGTATCTGGATAGCTTATGGGAACCCTGTAGGACGTTAAGCCATCTAGGAAGGGACATGCCCTTATTTCCAAGGTCTCTTCCTCCATCCTATGTTAATGCTATGTTTTCCATAATTGATTTCTGTTCCAGGAGCCAGACTCCACTAAGAAAAAGAGCAAAGAGCCTTCATGCATACTTTTATACAAGTTATTTGAGTGTTTTTTGAAGGATGATATTTGAATCACGTCCATCTCACTCCCTCCTACGCACAGAATTCCAGATCCACAGGTTTCTTAGAGATTTTAATTTAATAACATCAGAAGGGGGTGATCTTTCCAGCCCATGCAGTCTCTAGGAGAATTATACGAAGGTTTAAAAGTACATTGCTCAGAGCACTATTAGAAATACTTAAGGCTTACATATATATTACTAAGCAGCTGTAAACTTCAGTAGGCTTTGTTGTTTATCATCACAATTACTGAGCCAGTGAATTTCTCATGCTGAAACATACTGTGGCACTGCCAGGATGGGAACAAAGCAACTGGCTCTGGATCTGGCACAGAATTATGTAATATATCAGACTGGCCTTTTCCTTTCAAAGATAAATTTCTGGCAAAAGGCACATCACCAAACTAGATTATTCTGGTTCCATGGCTATGTGTTATGAATGTACCCAGGAACAGGACAATACATGCAGGCTGCATGATTTGGCACTGGACTTTTCCTTGTTTATAGTGAGGGCTTTACTATGACAGATTTCTCAGGATTAAATTCTTCAGGACCTAGAGCCCCACTCTTGTCTTTGTGGGATTTCTAATGAAATTGTTGGACAAAATAGTGTAAATTTATTTAGTTATCCTCTCTCCTTACCTCCCATGGGTGAGGGAGAGAGGAAAGAAGAGAAAAAAAAAGACAACATGCAGAGTAATGTTGTCAGAAAATACTAATTTGAGGATTCACGATCTTGTTTCTTTAAATAGAAACTGTGCTAAGTGTAATCAGCCTCTGACATTGTGAAGGACATCAAAACACCAAATGTATCTCATAGATGGGAAGGAAAAAAAAAAACAGAAAAAAAATTTCCACTTAATGGATTACTTTCATGACTGAGAACCACAGATGCCAAATTTCTGTGGGCCAGCAGTTAGAGAAAAAAATTTCTGAGGGATCAGAACCTATGCTTGCATTCCTTCTTCAGTTTGTATGTCCCATTAGGAAGCTGCTGAAAACTCATGGAAAACTGGAAAAAACCCCTTTCCATTCAGAACCTATTTTTTCTTTCTCTTTTACAGGAAAATAGCTTTTGTTTTTCAAGTTTGTGTCTCTTCAGGTATAGGTATTTTCTATCCACATATGTACCTCTACAGACCCCGGATGCTGCAGGGATTAGGCATATAAAGCTTGTTTTACTTAAGCAACTGTGCCAAGATGTACCTTTTAGTTTTGCTTGCAGAAGTGTGCAACTTCTGCTGTTTCTTGTCAATAAGACAACAGTTTTACAGTTCCTGCAGTCTTTACCAAGATTCAGAGGATGAAAGCTGGAAAGCATAAAACAAAAAGGATGTCCAGATATTTTTGGGTTTTAAATAACAGTCATAACCTTGTCTACAATATTCTGTATTTTTCTAACAAAAATAATTAAAGAAACGAGAAAACTAGAGAAAAAATCTACTTAAAAATACAGCAGTATCATCAATATCATGTTGGCTCTGGTATCATTTGCACTGTACAAAAACACTTACATGAACATGTTTAGGCTATCACACACGAATATATCACATTAAAAGGTGTAAATTCCATTTTGATTCATCAGAGAATAATTTAGCCCTTTTTCTGGTAAGCAACCAGATTGCCATGATTACTTGTTACTTTTCTATTAAACTGTAGGACTAAGGCAAAGGAAATTTTACCAAAATTATTGTTCTGAAGTTAGTTTGCCCACCTTTACTCAAAACAGAAGCTCCAGAAATTTTGTATTTATATTCCTGAGGTATTACCACACATTGCAATTTTGCTAAAACAATTTCCATTTTTCTGAAAAGGAGTATATGTGCAACTTTGATATTCACAGGCTGTTTAATATGCTTATGACTACCTAGAATCTCTTTGTCTACCAAGAAAAATACAACATCGTGTTACTTAAGAAGGATTATACAGCCATACTTTCTCTCCTGTAGTTACCATGGCAATGCCAAAGGTTTACATTCAGTCAAAACCCTCTGAGCACTAAGTTGTAAAATCTCAGCACCAGAGTGGCAAACAGCAGAATATTTTATGATGGAGAAATTGCGGTGCTGTTTTGGAAGTGTTTATAAAATAATGAATTTTACATAGGAGAATAAAGTATTCCTGATATTGGATTGTACAACAGTAGTGAGGGCAGCTTTAATTTTAATTACCCTTTTGGAATAAAAATTTAGTTTGCAGATTAAGGCACCTAAAGTAAGTAGAAACATGCAAACTAGATATGTAAACTGCCACTATAGATAATGGAAATTCAATCATTTTAGTCTATAGAATCTAGAGAACTGTTCAGCTCACCCTTTAATCCATACCAATACTTGACCCAATTAATAGCTCCTCTGTTCTCCAGTAACTGTATTGATAAGGTCTCCATTGATCCTAGCTCTCATGAAAGCATCTACACCTAAGTGACAGATTCAGACATCTCTATCTTTATTCAGGGCTCGCTGAGAATTCAAGCCAAGATAAGGAAAAGGACAAGGAAAAACACCAGTCTTCTTGACCACAATGACACTGATCAGCAACAAAAAGCCCTTCGGTCATCCTCTGCGTTCTTCTGTCAGTTGTATTTGAGTAACTTCTTGTACTAAAAAACCTAGGCCAGCCCTAGCTAACCAAGTCAAGGTTCCCTATGACAAGGACCAGAGATTATGCTTCTCTTTCAGCTTCTTCCCCTACCCACAGCTTGGGTTCACCCAACCTGTGCAAAAATAGCAAACATATCATCTTTTCTGCTTTCATTTTTCAGGAAGGTCCTGGAATATCACCCATTTCTGCATCACAGCTTCTTATTTTCTCCTCCTTTACACCAGTAAAAGTTGTCCACACAGTGAGACAAACTGTAGAACTGACCCAGTTAATAGCAAATCTCTCTAACCTAGCTTTCAGCCAAATTAGTTCCTGCACTTGACTCACTGTTAGACACAAGGAAGAGACTAGAACAAGTAGCTCCCAACAGAAAAGAAGATGGGAGCACCCATGATACGGGTTTCAATTGACATGAAAGTGTTTCACACATGAAAATGTGATTTATACATTAGTTAGTGAGACTAGGCATTGCATCTGTCAGTGAGACTAGGGATCTGTCAGTGTATCCATAACCTGAAGGTTCTTTGGCTACTGCAGGTTGCTGAGCTCTCTAGTACCCAATGTGTTTGACTTTTCTGGATAGTCACCTTCACCAACACTTTTGGTTTCCTAATCTATCATTTATCATACGAACACAGAAGTTGTCTTCCACTGTATCAGTATCCTTCAGAAATCAACTACAGAGCCATTTTCTCCTGTTTCACAACAGTCCTCCAGGCATAATATGTAAAGCTGGTCATTCTTGGCTCTCACAAGTGCATCCTGATGCCCTAACCATCAAGGTTATCTACCCAATTCATCTGTAGCAGAAACCATGAAATCTTGTAAGCTCCTTTATGTGTAAGTAAGAGTTATCTTGGCAGCAATGAACTCATCTGGAAACAAGTAATTTAAATCCTCTCTGCCAGCTCAGCAGCTAAATCACAAATTGGGAGCCTCATGCCTATACTATGGCTAATGCTTAGAATAGGTATGAAGCAAACTCACAAGGATTACACACTCAGGCAGCTCCTTTATCCTGGACTTCATCATCCTTCACTGCATACCTGCAACAGCCAGTTGGTAGTGCCACTGCCTCTTCTTGTTTCCAGAGGGTTTTGCAGCAGGATATTGGAGAAGGAATTCATGCTGTCTTTTAATCCGCCAAAACTCCACAG